ACTCGATTCTTACAAGTACCCAGTCTTGCGGTTGCCAAACGAAATCATATCCGAGATCTTCACAAATTTCTTGCCACTTTACCCCCTCTGCCCACCAATTACCGGACTCCTCTCGCCCACTGTTCTGACGCACATTTGTCGCAAATGGCGAGAAATAGCACTAACCACGCCCGACCTCTGGAGGGCCATATCATTATCCGACAATGGAACTCCTATCAGATCACCGGCCGACCTCTCGGAGGTACTCAGCAGATCTGGTTGTTGTCCGCTCTCTATCGCCATGGATGACTATGACTATGACTATAGGGCCACACCCGAAGATGTCTTCTCAGCAATCGTCGCTCACCGCGAACGGTGGGAGTACCTGGAACTTTACATTGGTTCCGATTTCCCCACTATTAAAGGGAGGCTGCCTCTGCTGCGCCACGTAAACTTGACGTTTGAAGACGACGCTCCCGTCATCGTGGTCGACGAAGCGCCTTTACTGCGCACAGCCGTTCTCAGTGCCCTCGATCTCTCGAATGTTGTATTGCCTTGGGCGCAATTGACTTCGCTGACTTTGGCCCGGCTTGAGCCGGACATATGCGTCCCAATTTTGCACCAGACTTCCAATCTGGTGCATTGCGAGCTGAGCTTGTACGATTGGGACTATGATGACAGTAATCCACCACCTGACGTAACGCTTCCATGCTTGGAGTCCCTGACCTTGAAAGATCGGGAAGGATCTCTCCCCGGCTATCTGGACACCTTTGTCGTACCTGCGCTCCGGAGTCTTCGGATCCCGGAGCCATGGCTCGAGCCCGACCCCATCGCTTCGCTTGCGTCATTTATATCGAAATCGGACTGTAAACTCCAGGAACTGCACCTCACAGAGATATCCGAATCTGGAACCACCTACCGGAAGGCATTTCCTTCGATTCAGAAGTTCTCCTTCGACATCCGATCGGATGATTGATCCAAAGCCATTCTGATGCCCTCCGACTCACTTACAATTCCTCCGTGCGTTCTATTTTGTCTTCCAGCGAATAATTTCGCTCAATTTAATCGGAAATAGGTTTGGACTAATGCATTCCGGGTCTGTTTCACGTCCGCATCTTTTTCGCCCATGTTCCCCGTGCTGTACATATTAAATTGACCTTCAATATGTTTACTTGATCATGATGTTGCCTCCCCTGGCGAGGCCAGTTCGAGATAATAAGAGACACGATTCCGAAACGGTGAATCGACTCACTCTTTCTCGTTCGGTCGAAAGGAATAATGTTTGGTCCATCATGGCGTCCCGATGCACTCATCGTCCGCAGGAACGAAAATCAAACAAAGGACGGGTTCGAATTGAATGAATTTGAGGACCAAGACATACAAAATTCAACCACTACTACATATCGGATTATTGAGAGGGCAGTTCGCATCCAACCCGCTTAAATGTCGTCGTCCCGTCACATCGCAGTTGAACTTTTCATTCTCATGTCCACCCCCGCTTGGTCGTATAGCCAGGATAAACTCAGGAACAACATCAGTGTCATCTGGCTGATCATAATAACTTTGAAGGTCCGCGAAACTGGCGGGATATGGTCTTCAAGTTCAGGCTCTTCGCCTCCCGCCATCAACTCTTGCACTGACCGGATTCTAAGTACAAGTGGCACAATACATCGCAAGTGACACTTACTATGATCCTTGGTCGTTGATATACCCTTGTGTTCCGACTGATTGAGTGGGTCTTCATCATCTTCTGAACAATGATCCTCGTCATCCACTTAAAGTATTTTTGAGTTAAATGGGGACGAATTGGTCGGGATGTGGCTTACTGTGGGCAAATGATGTGCCTATCTCACCGGACAATTGGAAAAGTGGATGACCGAGATGTCGGGCGACGTCCTGGCTGTCTGCATTGAAGCCTTTCGCTTGATGGAATTGTCGCAGTCCGGCGTAAACACTGGCATCCCAGGACCACCCTTCAATATCGGTGGAGAGCGAGATGGAAGGGAATCCCAGCCTAATTGCATCATCGACGTTAAGACGTTCGAGACCTGACGGATCTAGAGACCAATAGGCGGGACAGTCTGGCCATCTGAATGAGGAGGACCCCGTTCGAAAATGGTCTGGTGGGCAGAGAAATAGGAAGGCGAGTGGAGGGTCATTCGAGGTCACTGAAATTACTAGCCGAAAGTAAATGTCGTCTGGGACAACTGCTGCACGGGTCAATGAGGAAATCGGACCGAGAATGTATAGACGTGCCGTAATCCTCGAAATTGGACGAGACCTGGAGGCAGCTAAAAATGTGGTTCGCTTGACTGATCCAGAACTCGGGCGCCCAGTTCCACACATATAACTGCAAAGTACTGTCTATTATATCATCGGAAGCGAACCTGGAATATCCCGTATTAGAATAGATCACCACGCAGTCAACACGAACTCATGATACCGGGTCCAGCCATTCTCGAGGACTTCTCCTGTCGTTTCTCCAGAAGTGGTCCACTGGCAACGACTCAGATCAACCTCTGCATCCGGCAAGCTTGCAATCTCAACCAAGTCTTCGAGTGGATCCCTTGATGGCCAGGCGATTATTGTGTTCAGATTCACTGTTGCAGAGGTGGAACAGTAGAGGTGTCGATCTTGTGATAGATTCCAATAACATATTCTGTGATACTGGTACAGTGTCAGAGAATCAATGGCCATGGCCACCTCGTTCGAGGCTTTCAATGGTTTGATTCCACGTGAACGGGATACTCCCTCCAGAGTGGGAAACCAGTAGTACTTGTTGTTGCTGCGTACCAAGTCGACACAGAGTCGGCCCGTCGAGTGACGTATGAAAAATGTGCATTCACGATCAACCTGAAAATATTGTGAGGGAGAAGAGCAACTGGATGGAATATATTACCAGGAACCGTTGAAAAGTGGAGGACAAATAATCCCGCGTCGCCTGCAACAATTATCAGCGAGCTGGTCGATAGGGTTAAGCTTCTGTACTTTGAACTCAGTTTGCTGAAAATAAATCATTATTTAGCAACTTGACAGTGACGGATGGACCTACACAGTAGGCATGGATATACACGGTCAAGATGGGTGAATGGCGATGAACGTTCAGGAAATGGTCGAACGGCACCAATTCTGATTCAACATCACACTCAACCTACTTCGAGATGACAGGACGTACCGTCGTGGAAAACTGTGGCATACATGTAGTTCGAACTCGCTGCGGCTGCATGAACCTGAATGATATTGGGATGGCTGGATGTATAATTTATTGCAAGCAACCAAGCTTTCCAAGAAACTTACCGAACTGTCATATAATTCGCAATATCCTGACGCCATTCCTGCGACCATGTTATTAGAAAATAGATTTCGAAAGGGCAAGAAAGAAAACTCACCTCTTCTGCACTGGCGCCAAGATACATGGCGACCGTCACGCCCAACTTTCGGCCATCGATTGTGGCAGAGTATACTCGCCGAACACGCGGCCTCACGCGTTCGCAATCTACGATACCCGTGTTAGTGCCTAAGCATATTTCATTTTGTAGGTCGATATCTCCCAGAGGGATTGTTCGGAAGTCTATTCAATATTGAGCCTCGTCACAAGGCGTGTTGAAAAATTTACCAGGCGGAAAAATCGGAGCGGGGGTAATGTAGTTCTTAGTGATGCTGTTAAAGGTTCCGCCAGCCACAGTGAAGTGGTGGGCCCCAGAGAAATTGGCACTACTATGCCCTGATTAGAGATGTGATCCTTTCTATTCATCATAACGAGGAGGACGAGCTGACGAGGTGAGTTCAAGACTGGCTGTAGAAGAGTTCTCCGCCGATCCGCTGTTCATTGCTAGTGAGGGGAGAGCTGGAGATGTTAAGCGCCGACGTACAGCCTTGTTCCTTTTTAGGAAGGCAACTTCTCAGGAGTCAGGTTCGGCAGCACCATAACACCAAACAACACCTAAAAGATCCAAATGTTACTGAATTTTAGGGGGAATGGCAAAAATAAAATAAAAAAGGACACATCAAAGGTCCATGGCTTAAGGCCTGAGTCAAACAGGCAGTGTCTGCATCAACGATGATCCCAACAAATTATTGAGTACAGATGCAGACCCATTATCTACCTTCTTCTGCATTCTTATTTTATTGTAGGACTTTCTGGGAGGAACGAGAGAAAAAAATATATCGATGAAAACCACCCATGGCTCAGGCCTGAGTCGAACAGGCACCAGCTGCATTGTTCTGTTCCTCATTAAAAGCAGATGCGGACCATCCGCTACCGTGCCGTATCTACCTCCTTCTGCATTCTTATTTTATTGTAGAGTTTTCTCGGGAATGGCAGAAAGAAAAAAAAAGTCAGGAGTAAGCTGGCCATGGCTCGGGCCTGAGTCGAACGGGCTTTGTTTGCGTAATTACTGTGTTACGCAGGATGTCAGAAATTTAAAGCAGATGCGGACCCTCCGCTACCGAGCCTTATCTACCTCCCTCTGCACCCTTATGTTATTGTGGAATTTTCTCGGGAATGGAAAAAAAATTGGACGGTAAGAATGCATGCATGACTCGGGCCTGAGTCGAACAAGCAATGTTTGCAACATGGTAATATTTGACGAGGAAACCAGAGAGCAGTGCGGACCCTCCACCGAGCCTTCCTATCCTGCTGTACACCTACATTATTCCACAGGATTTTTGGAGCAGAATAAAAATGAAAACCGCCATGGCTCGGGCCTGAGTCGAACAGGCTATGTCTGTGTTATTCTCTGGATATTCTGTACTGGCAAGCAGATGCAGACCATCTGCTACCGAGTCTTTCTACCTCCTTTTGAATGTTACTCACAACCGAGAATTTCCAGAGGGAATGGCAAAAGGGGAAGAGGAATGAGGCAGATATTTTATAGCTCGGGCCTGAGTCGAACAGGCTGCCTGCATAATTGTGAATTGGTTCACCTCCTCCCTCCTCTTTGCCCCTATTTTATCGTAGAATCTTCTGGGGAATGACAGAAATGAAAAAATGAAAAAAGACAGGAGGAGGAGGAGTCCTATGGCTCGGGCCCGAGTCGAACAGGCCTTGTCTGCATTATCCGTCCACACATTTAATGGAAAGCAGATGCGGACCATCCGCTACCGAGCCGTATTTACCTCCCTCTGCGCTCTCATTTTATTGTAGGATTTCTGCAGCTAGAAAAAAAGAGATGTACGAAGAATGGAATGGCTCGGACCTGGTTCGAACAGGCTTTGTCTGCATTACCCATTTTCACACATATGTATACATCTTTTGAATGAAAAGCAGATGTAGACCATCCGCTACCAAGCCTTTCTACCTTGCTCTGCACTTATGCTTTATTGCTGAATTTCCTTGGGGCAATGAATGTCAAGAGAAAAAAAGAAGTATGGAAAAGAGCGATGGCTCGGGTCTGAGTTGAACAGGCTTTGTCTGCAATATGACGACAGGAAGAAACCACAGAGAGCAGATGCGGACCATCTGCTACCGAGGCTTTCTCTCTCACTTCATACCTTCTATACCTAAGAATTGCGTGGAGAGAAACAAGAGCAAAAAAGAGGATGCTCACGAGTTATGGCTCGGGCCTGATTCGAACAGGCTATGTCTGTATTATCTTATAAAACAGGTAGGGAATGGAGAGCGGATGCAGACCCTCTGCTACCGAGCCTTTCCCCCTTGCTTCGCACCTTCTATAACTAAGAATGCCGTGGAGAGAAGTAAGAGCAAAAAAGAGGAGAATGAACACAATCATACATGGCTCGGGCCTGAGTAAAACAGGCAGTGTCTGCATAGTTCCCTTGAACACGTTTAATGGAAAGCAGATACAGACCATCTGCTACCGAGCCTTCCGCCCTCCCTCTCCACCCTTATTTTATAGTAGAATTTTCAGGGGGAATGACAGAAATGAAAAAAAAAAAAGACAGGGGGAAGAAGAGTCGTATGGCTCGGGCCTCAGTCGAACAGGCAGTGTCTGCATTACTCTGGTGATAATCTACTATGGAAAGCAGATGCAGACCATCCGCTACCGAGTCTTCCTACCTCCCTTTAATTCGTCCTCACAACCGAGAATTTCTGGAGGGACTGGCCAAAGGAAAAAAAGGGAGTCTATGGTTATGGCTCGGGCCTGAGTCGAACAGGCTTTATCTGCATTACCTTACAGAACACGAGAAATGGAAAGCAGATGCGGACCATCCGCTACCGAGCCTTCCTCCTCCCATTCCAGCCTTGAATAAATGGGCTGTTTTTTTTTGGAGACCAGCTTAGTTGATTTTTCGACTTCAAATTTCAGGCACCTGGTTGCTGTATAGATTGACAGTACGTAGAGAATGTTGGGTTGGTTGGAAGGCATGTGAGTGGTAGGGGATGAAATAACAATAAAAAGAGTCGTAAGGAGAAAATTTATGGCTCGGGTCTGAGTCGAACAGGCATTGTCTGCATCAAGGCGGATGGCAAATCATTGAGGGCAGATGTGGATGCCTCCACCGAGCCTTTCTACCTCTCTCTAAATGTTCCTCACAAACAGAATTTTTTGAGTGAATCACAAAAAAGAGAAGAAAATTGAAAGATAACAGGCCTATTAATAATATGGCTCAGGCCTGAGTCGAACAGGTGTTGTCTGCATTATTCTAGTAGAATTTTCAGGGGGAATGACAGAAATGGAAAAAAAAAGACAGGGGGAAGAAGAGTCGTATGGCTCGGGCCTGAGTTGAACAGGCTTTGTCTGCATCAATGCTGTACAAGAAGTATATTGGGCAGATGCGGACCCTCCACCAAGCCTTATCCACCTTGCTCTGCATTTTCAGTTTATCGTGGAATTTTCTGGCGCAATGAATGAGAGGAGAAGAAGAAAAAACTGAGCGGATCCAGGAATGGCTCGGGCCTGAGTCGAACAGGCTGTGTCTGCATTACTGAATCTCTAACAGAAATAATGGAAAGCAGATGCGGACCCTCCGCTACCGAGCTTTCCCATCCTGCTGTACACCTGCATTGTGCCCCAGAATCCTTGCCACCAGAAAAAAAAAGATAGTGATAGATAATGGCTCGGGCCTGAGTCGAACAGGCTTTGTCTGCATTACTCTAGTAAGGACTCCGAATAGAATGCAGATGCGGACCCTTCCTCCCCTGCTCCATACTTTCATTATTCCCCAGAATTTTTAGAGCAAATGAAAGAGAAAGGGGGAAAAAAATCCAGCAAATGAAGAACATGGCTCGGGCCTGAGTCGAACAGGCTTTGTCTGTTGACTGGATACATCTCCATGGAAAGCAGGTGCCGACCATTCAATACCGAGCCTTCCTACCTCCCGCTGCGCCTTCATTATTCCGCAGGATTTCTGCAGCGAGAAAAAAGAGATGTACGAACAATGGAATGGCTCGGGCCTGAGTCGAACAGGCAGTGTCTGCATCAACATCCTCCAAGATGACACATATTGGGCAGATGTGGATCCATCCACTACCGAGCCTTTCCGACCGTGCTCTGTACCCTTATTTTATTGTAGGACTTCTGGGGGAATGAGAAGAAAAAAGGAGTGAAATGGGCTATGGCTCGGGCCTGAGTCGAACAGGCTTTATCTGCATTACCCATTTTCACACATACAAAGATCATATGGAAAGCAGATGTGGACCATCCACTACCGAGCCTTCCCATCCTGCTGTACACCTACATTATTCCACAGGATTTTTAGAGTGAATGAAAAAGGGCGGGGAAAAAATTCAGCAAATGATGAACATGGCTCGGGCCTGAGTCGAACAGGCTTAGTCTGCGTCAATATATGCATTATACCTCAATATTGAGGGCAGATGCAGACCCTCCGCTACCAAGCGTTATTCCTCCCCTCTGTACCCTTATTTTATTGTGAAATTTCTAGAGCGAATGGTAAAATGAATAAAAAAGAAGTAATAGCGAGTAATGGCTCGGGCCTGAATCGAACAGGCATTATCTGCATTATTGCATTGTAACGACAGCCGCATGGAAAGCAGATGCGGACCATTTGCTACCGAGCCATCCTCGTCCCGTTCTAGCCTCAAACATATGGACCACTTTTCTGAGGCCAGCCTTGAACTGACTTGGGACAGTGGACTTGTGATGAGTCGTATAGTACCTCGTCACTACGTAGGATGCGGATCTTCGTCTGGTGATGGAGGATGTTCGTCATTTGATGGGGTAAGTTCGTCAGATGTCTGTGCAAGTTTGTGAGATCAAAACTAAGCGAAGGAAACCTCGTCGGAAGCGGTCGCGTGCTCCAAAACCTGTGCAAGTTCGTCAGGACAAAAGTGGAAGTTCGTCGCAAGCCCAACGATTCTTATCCCCTCCTCCCACCGTCATCTTGTCCCGACCCCTGCGTGCGCTCTGACCGGTTTCGCAGTGCGTACCCATCAATATCGGTGCTGATCCTGGCAGTCTATTAATGTTTTTCTCATTTTCACAGGTGGTGATGGATGAGTCGCAGTTTTCACCGCTCTTTTGGGATGGCAGCAGCGAGGTAGAGCAGCGGTATGCCAACCTATTTTCGTTGGCTCAATGATTCAACCCTTCAGACAACATGCGCACAGCAGTTCGGCTCCAGCTGCCGGTGTAATGCCATCGTTCGCGTTCTCCAGTACGTACACGCTGTCAATACCTATGATAACCCATTGAGCGCTCACATTGTTCTATCCCCAGCGGATCCTGGTTTTTCCACCGATTTTGGCCACTTTTACCCCCTGGTGTGTATGATTTTCTTCAAGGTTACTGCGGCGCGGCAGTAACTCTTTTCAAATTTGATTCCTGGCGCGCAACAGACCGGCTTCTTCTCGGCACCCAACTCGTGGGACTCCGCGCTGTTCTCTTTGCTTCCGAGGGTGCCACAGGAAATGAGCACACAGTGGGACGACCCCGCGGTACAGACACACTGGGATGATTTCGTTTCCAGGTGCGACAGTTGGTGCCATTATCTCCAAGTGTGTTCAACTCAAAATAAATACTCTACAGCCTTCAACCAGCACCAGCTCGACCCCCTTCCACAGATTCGAATGTAGGGAATTTTTTCTATGATGCCTATGGGTAAGATTTCGATTTAGGGCGGTTTAATCCAGCTAAATGTGCAACTCCAGTATCGATCTCCTTATGGGAGATATCCGGTAACATTTCCTCATCCTCCCAGTGCTGACCCGAGCGGCCGGTTCAGTGATGATTACTCAAGCTCAAGATTTTCGTCAGCTCCGCCTTCCAGCATCCCTGATGATGATGGTTGGTCATCCCGGTGCGTCTTCCAGATGTACTTGATCTATTCGGCACCATTCATTACCAATTCCCAGAGTGGTCATGCAGCAGTTCACGTCCGGTCTCGGCGGCGCCGTCAAGTGTCTATACTGACCTAGACCAAAATATCTTGAGGATCCACTGGCCGGGTGGGTGATGCAGGATTCCGACACCGGCGAGAAACTCACTGGGCACGAGTAGGTCAAGCGCTATCTGGAGGAGTTCGCACAGCGCTACAAAAGGACCACCAACGCTACATTGAGTACCTTAAAGCACAGTCAGTTGATTCTTAGACTAGAATGTAGATTACATTCGCTTACGCATATAATTACATCCACAATAAAGTATCTCAGTGTCTCGTTCATGTTGAGAATCGCAGCGCCACTCGTCAAATGTTTTGAATTTTATAACAACCAGAATGTGCCAGGAAAGTTCCGGAAATATTTGAAGACCTTAAACAGATGTATAACTATTCAGAAGAATCCTCGCGACTGCAGGGCTGCTTTTGCCGACCTGCGCATATCCAATCCCGGTTGAACATGAACTCACGTGACTGGATTAATATAGTTCAACTACAGTAGTCGGGACAAGTGCACCGTAATCCGATGAGTGTTCTGAGCTGTTATCATTCATAAGGCGTGTAGCTGCATCAATGAATCGGAAACAGAGGGAGAAATAGATGACATAAGCCTTCCTCAACAACGGAACAGAGCCGACGAAGTTGCTCATTCACGCTGCCAAATTTGGCATGCGACGAGCTTGCTTTGCAAGCTGACGAACTTGCGCAGCATGCGACGAACTACTGCGATCCTACGTAGTGACGAACTATGTGAGGGCTCACTTGTGATCACAAGCTTTCTTGCCTAGCTGAATGTTTGAGTTGAAAGTCCACCTCGCTGGTATTTTTAAATTGAAATTTCGGGCGAGTAGTCAGTTGTGTGGATTGGGTTGGGGTGGTTGGTTGGAAAACACGGTAATTGTAACCTGTCAGGCGATGAAATAAAAAATAAAAGAATAGTTCTACAGGTAAGAGACTGAGGGATGGAGCAATTTCGGTACTAAACGCTTCTTATTTACTCGCTCATAACCCAGAATTTATAGAGGGAATGACAAATGGCTCGGTCCTGAGTCGAACAGCTGATGTCTGCATCAAGGATGATCCGAATGAATTATTGGTTGCAGATGCGGACCCTCCGCTACCGAGCCTTCCCTCGCTTACTCTGCACAATTATTTTATTGCAGAATTTTGTGGGGGAATGAAAAGAAAGGGAAAAAATTCAGCAAATGATAAACATGGCTCGGGCCCGTGACGAACAGGCTTTGTCTGCATTATATCTGGGGAAGCACCAATAATGGAAAGCAGATGCAGACCATCCGCTACCGAGCCTTCCTACCTCCCTTTCAATGTTCCTCACAAGCCAGAATTTCAGAGTGAATGAAAAAGAAATGCGAGACAAAGATGTGATGGCTCGGGCCTGAGTCGAACAGGATGTCTGCGTGAATATCCTCCAAGATGACACATTGGGCACATGTGGACCCTCCACTACTGAGCCTTCCTACCTCTCTCTAAATGTTACTCACAAACAGAATTTTAAGAGTGAATCACAAAAAAGAGAAGAAAATTGAAAGACGACAGGTCTATGGCTCGGGCCTGAGTCGAACAGGCAATGTCTGCATCAATATTGGCCAAAATGCGAAGCATATTGGGCAGATGCAGACCCTCCGCTACCGAGCCTTTCCGACCGTGCTCTGTACCCTTATTTTATTGGAGAATTTTCTGGCGCAATGAATGAGAGGAGAAGAAAAGAAATCTGAGTGAGAAATGGCTCGGCCCGAGTCAAACAGGCAATACAGCGTCTGCATACTTCTATAGCCACTTCATATGGGAAGCAGATGCGGACCCTCCGCTACCGAGCCTTTCCTTCCCCCGCTCCGCACCTTTATTTTATTGTAGAGTTTTCTCGGCCATGGCAGAAAGGGAGAAAAAAAAGTCAGGAGGAAGCTGGCAATGGCTCGGTCCTGAGTCGAACAGGCATTATCTGCATTATTGCATTGTATTGAAAACTGAATGGAAAGCAGATGCAGACCATCTGCTACCGAGCCGTATCCACCTCGCTCTGCACCCTCATTTTATTGTAGAATTTTCTCGGGAATGACATCGGAAAAAAAGGAATAGAGGAGGTCGATGGCTCGGGCCTGAGTCGAACAGGCATCATCTGCAGTATGACGACAGGAAGAAACCACAGAGAGCAGATGCAGACCATCCGCTACTGAGCCTCTTCTACTTCCCCTGGACCCATGTTTTATTGTGGAATTTTCTCAGGAATGACAGGAGAAAAAAAGGAATAGAGGAGGTCGATGGCTCGGGCCTGAGTCGAACAGGCTATGTCTGTATTATTTGCTCGCACACTTGTGATGGAAAGCAAATACGGGCCCTCTGCTACCGAGCCTCATCTACCTCTCTCTACACTTTCAGTTTATTGTAGAATTTTCTAGGGAATATTAATGTCAGGAAAAAAGAAAAGCAGCAGATCTATGGCTCGGGCTGAGTCGAACAGGCATCGTCTGCATTATCTTATGGAACAGGCAGGGAATGGAGAGCAGACGCGGACCATCCGCTACCGAGCCTTTCCTCCCCCACTCCGCACTTATGTTATTGTAGGTTTTTTGCAGCGAGAAAAAGAGATGTACCAGCAATGGAATGGGTCGGGCCTGAGTCGAACAGGCTTTGTCTGCATTACTCTGGTGACAATTTGAAATGGAAAGCAGATGCAGACCCTCCACTACCAAGCCGTATTTACCTCCCTCTGCACTTTCAGTTTATTGCACAATTTTCAAGGGGAATGACAAAAAAATAAAAAGGGGAGTAGCAATGAATAATGGCTCGGGCCTGAGTCGAACAGGCAATACAGTATCTGCATACTTCTATAGCTATCTTGTATGGGGAGCAGATGCAGACCCTCTGCTACCGAGCCTTTCTCCTTCACTCCGCACTTTCTATAACCTAAGAATTCTGTGGACAGAAACAAGAGCAAAAAAAGAGTGCAACAATCAGACATGGCTCGGGCCTGAGTCGAACAGGCTATGTCTGCATTACCTTACAGAACACGAGAAATGGAAAGCAGATGCGGACCGTCCGCTACCGAGCCTTTCTACCTCCTTTTAAATATTTCTCACCACCGAGAATTTCTACGGGATTGGCAAAAAGAAGAAAATGCTAATCAAACCAGAAATGGCTCGGGCCTGTGTCGAACAGGCTATGTCTGCATTAACCTCCATAACTCACCCATGAAGTGCAGATACAGACCCTCCACCAAGCCTTCCTACCTCTCTCTAAATGTTACTCACAAACAGAATTTTAAGAGTGAGTCACAAAAAAGAAAAGAAAATTGAAAGACGACAGGCCTATGGCTCTGGCCTGAGTCGAACAGGCAGTGTCTCCATTATTGTCTGGATAGTCTGGTAATGGCAAGCAGATACGGACCCAGGGACCCTCCACCGAGCCTTCCTCCCCCACTCCGCACTTTCAGTTTATTGTGGAATTTCTAGAGCGAATGAAAGAGAAAGGGGGGAAAAATCCAGCAATTAATGAATATGGCTCGAGCCTGAGTCGAACAGGCGAAATCTGCATTATTTGCTCGCACACTTGTGATGGAAAGCAGATGCGGTCCATCTGCTACCGAGCCTTATCCACCTCGCTCTGCACCCTCGTTTTATAGTGGAATTTTCCGGGGGAATGAATGAGAGGAGAAGAAAAAAAATGGAATGGAGCAGATGGATGCTCTGGCCTGAATCGAACAGGCAATGTCTACACTATCCCTCCTAAACATGTAATGGAAGCAGATGCAGACCCTCCACCGAGCCTTATCCACCTTGCTCTGTACCCTGATTTTGTTGTAGAATTTTCTCGGGAATGACAGGAGAAAAAAAGAACAGAGGAGGTCGATGGCTCGGGCCTGAGTCGAACAGTATAATGACAGTGAATGGAAAGCAGATACAGACCATCCGCTACCGAGCCTTCCTCCTCCCATTCCAGCCTTGAATAAATGGGCTGTTTTTTTGGAGACCAGCTTAGTTGATTTTTCGACTTCAAATTTCAGGCACCTGGTTGCTGTATAGATTGACAGTACGTAGGGAATGTTGGGTTGGTTAGAAGGCATGTGAGTGGTAGGGGATGAAATAACAACAAAAAGAGTCGTAAAGGAGAAAATTTATGGCTCGGGTCTGAGTCGAACAGGCATTGTCTGCATCAAGGCGGACGGCAAATCATTGAGGGCAGATGTGGATGCCTCCACCGAGCCTTTCTACCTCTCTCTAAATGTTCCTCACAAACAGAATTTTTAGAGTGAATCACAAAAAAGAGAAGAAAATTGAAAGACGATAGGCCTATGGCTCGGGCCTGAGTCGAACAGGCATTATCTGCAATATGACGACAGGAAGAAACCACAGAGAGCAGATGCGGACCCTCCACTACCGAGCCTTTCCTCCCCTGCTCCATACTTTCGTTATTCCCCAGAATTTTTAGAGCGAATATGAAAAAGAAAGGGGGGAAAAATCCAACAATTAATGAACATGGCTCGGGCCTGGGTCGAACAGGCTTTATCTGCATTACTTACAGAACACGAGAAATGGAAAGCAGATGCGGAGCGTCCGCTACCGAGCTTTTCCTCCCTTCCCCTGCACCAATGTTTCATTGCTGAATTTCCCGAGGGCACAAATGTCAAGATAAAACAGAGACAGCGCGGAGAAGGCATGGCTCGGGCCTGAATCGAACAGGCAGTGTCTGCATCAATGATAACACCAGAGACGTATTGAGGGCAGATGCGGACCATCCGCTACCGAGCCTTATCTACCTCGCTCTGTACCCTCAGTTTATTATAGAATTTCTGGGGGGAATGGCAAAAAGAGTGTAACAATCCAACATGGCTCGGGCCTGAGTCAAACAGGCATTGTCTGCAACATGGTAATATTTGATGAAGAGAACACAGAGAGCAGATGCGGACCATCCGCTACCGAGCCGTATTTACCTCCCTCTGCGCTCTCATTTTATTGTAGGATTTCTGCAGCTAGAAAAAAAGAGATGTACGAAGAATGGAATGGCTCGGGCCTGAATCGAACAGGCTTTATCTGCATTACCCATTTTCACCATATACATCTTGAATGGAAAGCAGATGCGGACCGTCCGCTACCGAGCCTTTCCTTCCCTCACTTCGTACGTCCTATACCTAAGAATTTGTGGAGAGAAACAAGAGCAAAAAAAGAAGATGCCCAAGAGTTATGGCTCGGACCTGAGTCGAACAGGCAGTGTCTGCATTATCCTCTGAAATACCTGATTAATGGAAAGCAGATGCGGACCATCCGCTACCGAGCCTTATTTACCTCCTTCTGCATTCTTATTTTATTGTAAAACTTTCTAGGGAATAGCAAAAGGAACAAAAAAGACAGGGGGCAGAGGTATGGTTCGGGCCTGAGTCGAACAAGCTTTATCTGCATTACTCTTACAATGACACTGAATGGGAAGCAGATGCGGACCCTCCACTACCGAGCCTTATCTACCTCCTTCTGCATTCTTATTTTATTGTAGAATTATCTGGAATTAATGGCAGGAGAAAAAAAAAGAGAAGCGAGACTGACAATGGCTCGGGCCTGAGTCGAACGGGCATTGTCTGCATTATCCCCTCATACACATGTAATGGAAGTAGATGCAGACCCTGCTACCGAGCCTTTCCTACCTCGCTTTGCGCCTCCCATAATTCATAATTTCCTGAGGTAATGACAAAAAAAAGAAAAAAAAAAAAGAAAAAAAAAGAAAGGCAGCAGATCTATGGCTCGGGCCTGAGTCGAACAGGCTATGTCTGCACACTCGGGATTGACTTTACCAAGCCTTCTTAACTCCCTCTGCACCCTCATTTTATTGTGGAATTTCTGCAGCAAGAAAAAAGAGAGGTATGAAGAATGGAATGGCTCGGACCTGATTCGAACAGGCATTGTCTACATAGTTCCCTTGAACACAATGGATGGAAAGCAGATGCGGACCCTCCACCGAGCCGTATCCACCTCCATCTGCACCCTCAGTTTATTGTAGGATTGTGGGGCGATGAAAAAAAAGGAAAAGAGGAAACTTTCTATGGCTCAGGTCAGAGTTGAACAGGTCCACTACTGAGCCTTCCACCCTCACTCCGCACTTTCTATAACCTAAGAATTCTGTGGAGAGAAACAAGAGCAAAAAAAAAGAGGATGCCCATGAGCTATGGCTTGGGCCTGAGTCGAACAGGCAATGTCTGCATTATGCTCTGGCACACCACATAGAAAGCAGATGCGGACCCTCCGCTACCGAGCCTTTCTCCCTTGCTCTGTACCTCCCTTAAGACTCAGAATTTTCTCGGGAATGGCAAAAGGGAAAAAAAAAAGAGAAGCGAATTCGCAATGGCTCGGGCCCGAGTCGAACAGGCTATGTCTGCATACTGTGGATTGAATCGAGAATGTAAAGCAGATGCGGACCATCCACTACCGAGCCTTTCTCCCTTGCTCTGTACCTCCCTTAAGACTCAGAATTTCTGGGGAATGACAAAAAAGGAAAAATAAAAAACAGTTTCGAAAGCAGTAATGGCTCGGGCCCGAGTCGAACAGGCAATGTCTGCATTATGCTCTGGACACAATGATGGAAAGCGGATGCGGACCCTCCGCTACCGAGCCTTTCTCCCTTGCTCTGTACCCTGATTTTATTGTAGAATTTTCTCGGGAATGAAAAGGCAAAAAAACTGGAGTCGAAACGAGCGATGGCTCGGGCCTGAGTCGAACAGGCTTTGTGCTGCATTACCCATTCACACGTCACATGTTATGAAAAGCAGATGCGGACCCTCCACTACCGAGCCTTTCTCCCTCGCTCTGCACCCTCATTTTATTGTAGAATTTTCTGGGGAATGGCAAAAAGAAAAAAAGAAGCGAGACCAGCAATGGCTCGGGCCTGAGTCGAACAGGCTATGTCTGCAATCAATATACGTACTCCTTCTAAGCAATTGAGGGCAGATGTGGACCCTCCACTACCGAGCCTTTCTACCTCTCTCTACATGTTCCTCATAATCCAGAATTTTTGGAGAGAAAAAAAACTAATCCCGCCTTTTAGCGTAACTTGGGTCCCACAAAAGATGTCTGTAACTTATTTATGGACGAGGACCCACCAGCGAACTACCAGCGACTCCCGGATCCGCAGTCAATTTCCAAAGCCGCTTGGAGTAATTTATTTCTGGAGACCCGATCAATACCGGCAGATGGGTGATTGACAAGCGGAATTGACACCACGGAAGATCGAGATCAGAGTTACATATCATAATCAATTTGGGATGGATGTAAGCTAAAAGTGGACGGGGGGATGGAAGAAGATCTAGATGGGTACCGGTGTGAGGGTGCGGGGAAGTTTACAACTTACAGCCATGTCCTACCGTTAACGTTCCTCGAAGAGTCGCGGCACGGATGAAATTCATTTTACCTCCTCCAATCGAACATTCATTTACGCCATTTTTCTGTTCCCCGGTGGGAATTCGAAGTTGCGAAGCTTGATGGGGTAGATAGCAGCGGTGATTGAGAGGGCACGAGGCGTCACATGAGCGGGGTATGCAATAATAGGCTACGCTCAAAGGGGATATGAGAGCGGAAAAGGGAATAGCACCCGGGCTTGGCCCGAAGAGGAAAGAGGTACTTTGGTTGTTACTACCCGCCACCGACACTGCTATGGACGACGTGCGGCACAACGACGCTCAGCAAGAACAAGAGCACGAACACGGGCTGAGGCATGCACGCGGGTTTCTGGGCTCGTTGCCTGTCTTACCTCTACCCTCGCCCGTACCTCTACCTCTACCTGGACATGAAGCAGGAGCACGACAAGGAAAAGCACACATCCTCTCCGCCCCCCAATTCGCTGCCCTCCACACCGCGCACATCCTCGCACACCCGCCCGACGGCGTGCTCTTTCCCTTCCTTCATGGATTGGAGGGCGACAACCACGCGCAGAATACGTTCTTCGAGGGGTCGCGTGGCGATGCAGCTGCGGGGAGGAGGAGGAGGAAGGCACCGCGGTTTAGGGGGCTCGTGTGGGTCGTGGCGGAGGAGGAGGAGGAGTTGCCTCGTACGACGGGTGGGGTCGGCGAGGAGGAGGGGGAGTACGATGATGAGGACGAGAGCGATGAAGAGGATGAGGAGGAGAGTGAGGAGGAGGACGAGCTGGTTGGGATGGACGTCGATGGGGACGGGGTACGCATTGCCGGGGATGGGGAGGAAGGCCCGCCGATAGCGACTCTGGAACAGCAAGAGGACGGCAAGCATATGCATCCCGTACACCATCGTCTGCAGGCGCTCCAGACGAGCGGGCTCCCGCCTGGGACGCCTAGTACCGCCGCTTCGGACGACAGCGAGCGGTTCTTTGCGGCGCAGACGCCGACAACGGCGCTGGGGGAGGACGTGCAGATGGAGATGTGAGTCCTTTTCTGTTCGCTTTCCTTTCTTCCTCTTCGCTTTCTTCGTTTCTTGTTGTTTTTCTATTCTCGTTCTACTGCGGGTCGACGTCGTCCTACCACTCCAGCGACTTTGCATCCATTCTCCATTCCCCTGCCTTCTACTTCTACTCCTGGGACGGCCTATCGCTCTCCCTGGGCTGCTTGGACTCGACGATGGAGTCGCTATGCTACTCCTATCCATCTCGCGGCCTTCGAGGTGGAATGGCGTCTGTGTGGGCATAGCGCAGACGCGGACGCCCCCTTCATGCTCGCGTGCTCGAGTGCAATCCCGTTCACGCTGTCACCATATCCTGCGTCTTCCGTCTTCTATGTCATGGGTGTAGCGCGGCGGCCTTCATATTCGCGTGCTCGCGAGCCCTGCCTGCATACCTTCGCTTTCATTCACGCTATCTGTCTCGCATATCCTCGCATGCATGCATGCGCCCATGCTCGCCCTCGATTGTGTTCTTCCTATCATCTTGTCTTTCTCTCGTGCTATTCGTACGATGTGGACGGCTTGCCAGGACTCTGGACTGGGCTCTCCTTGGTTCCTTGCTTGCGGGGATTTGGCGGTCTTAACTGGACTTGCCAGGACTCGATTGGGTGCGCACGAGCCCGAGTCCTCGTCCTGTCCATGCCTGTCTTCCCCATCTTTATTTATTTCTTCACACTGGACTGCACCCTTCACTGCACGGACATAGAGAGGACGCTTTGCGCTCGTGTGCCTTATCCTGGTCCTTGTTCCATCTCCATTCTATTCCGGCGCTCAGACCATCATATCGTATTCCTTGCTACATCCCATCTTCGCGTCTTCGCCATTCCACCGTCCCCATGCATCCCCTTCCCTTCTCCGCGCGCTCTTCCCGTACTCGAAGAGCCGAACATTTGGCAGTCGCTCGGGTAGAGCTCAAGGACCGTCTACGGAATGCTGAGGATGCGCAGTCTCTGCTGGGGCCGCTGTCCACCGCCGATTCATTGCTGGCGAAGGAAATTTTGGGATGGAGGAGATTGCTTGGGACAAGAGCGTCTGCGATGCTCTCGATTATTGTTTTTTGTTGGCAGAGATGGTGTGGAAATAGCGGAAGTTGAGAAAGAACTTGGTAACTAGAGAATCAAGGACGTGAAATATAACTAATCTTGACTCTTGTGGTCGAATTTGAATCGAAATTTTTCTGAAGAGGTAAATCAGTGGCAGTGCAATTGATCAGTTGCCGCCAGCACGTTCGCTGACAAGAAACCTGTCCTGCTGGGCTCCCACACCGGAGAGTCGCAGGAACTCGTTCCACGCATCCAAACGTGCGCAGATCCTCTCGATTTTCAGGGCTAGAACCTGGACAAGCGACATAACCGCATACCACAATATCACGATAGGTAAGTTAAAAATCCTTCTATAGTCGTATCTCTCGCAAGCTAATCGCGCAGAATCCAGTTTTACACATAGTCCGTCATGCTCAGTGCGCTTGCAGCAGATCGTGCTCGCGTCGCAGATATTGTAACCCAGATCTTGGATCTTGAGCGCACCCTTGCCGAATTGCGACTAGAGAAAACCACAGTGCAAGAGCGCCTCGATTCTTACAAGTACCCAGTCTTGCGGCTGCCGAACGAAATCGTATCCGAAATCTTCACACATTTCCTGCCAATCTACCCCCTTTGCCCACCAGTTGCCGGACTCCTCTCGCCCACCGTGCTGACCCACATTTGTCGCAAGTGGCGAGAAATAGCACTAAATACGCCCGACCTCTGGAGGGCCATCTCTCTATCCCACGAGGGAACTCTCATCAGATCACCGGCCGACCTCTCTGAAGTGCTCAGCAGATCTGGTTGTTGCCCGCTTTCTATCGCCATGGATGAGTATAACTCCCACAGGTCCGAAGATGTCTTCTCAACAGTCGTCGCTCACCGCAAACGGTGGGAGTACCTGCAACTTTACATTCTCTCCGATTTCCCCACTATTGAAGGGAGGCTGCCTCAGCTGCGCCACGTAAACTTCAAGTTGGCGCCCACTAGAAACCCGCCCAAAATCATTATCCACGACGCGCCTGTACTACACACGGCTATCCTCCGTACCATAAACGTTTCGAATGTCATCTTGCCTTGGGGGCAATTGACTTCACTGACCTTAGACCTGCTCGAACCGCATGACTGCGCTCTAATTTGCAGCAGACATCCAATCTGGTGCATTGCAAGCTGATCTTGCTCGACGATGACAGTAATCCACCACCTGACGTACCGCTTCCATGCCTGGAGTCCCTGATCTTGAACGATTGGGAAGGACCTCTCCCAGGCTATCTCCACACCTTCATCGTGCCTGCGCTCCGGAGTCTTCGGGTCCCCGAGCCATGGCTTGAACCCAATCCCGTCGCTTCGCTTGCGTCATTTATATCGAAATCCGGCTGCAAACTCCACGACGTGCATATCGCAGCAAACATACCTGAACATGAAACCTCCTACCGCAAGGCATTTCCCTTGATTAAGAAGTTCTCATTCGACCTTCGGCTGCCCAAAAAAGATTCGGCCTCCGAAAGCGATTCTGATTCGGCCGATATCGCGAGCAACACCAGCTCCGAAGAATAGTCCAATTCACAATTCCTCCGTGCGTTCTATTTCGTCTTCCCGCGATAAATTTCGCTCAATTTCATATAGGTTTGAACTAATGCATCCCGGGTCTATTTCACTCTCGCATCTTTGTCGCCCGTGTTCCCAACTTTGCACATATTAAATCGACCTTCTTTTCCTCAATACTTTTGCTTGATGATTCCTCTTCTTCTGGCGCGGCCCGTTCGAGATAGTAAAGAGCATAATTATGAAACGGAGAATCGACTCTCTTCGTTAGCTGAAAGGGGGCTAGTGAGGACTGCGCAGCTTTCAGTTCGCGACGATACCGCGTGTGTAGCTTTCGCTTCGCAATGACTCACCAATTGTGGCCAAGCTTTCTGCACAATCAACCACGCTCCGTGTTGTTCAGGAATCCGCTGTCGGGATAAAATCCACCAGTCCACACTCCCTTTCGAAATATATAATGTGTTCTTCCTAATGTCTTTATTTCGTGCTATTCGTACGACGTGGACCCATGGACGTGGACTCCGAACTAGCCTCGCCTCGCCTTTCTTCGCTTGCTTGGATTTGGCAGGCTGGACTTGGGCATCGTGCGCACCCATCCTCAGCTTCGTCCTTGTTCTATCTCTATTCTAGCGTTCACATTATTGTATCTTATTCTTTGCTGCATGCCGTATACGTCTTCGACCCACTGTCCCCGCGCATCTCCTTCTCCTTCCCGCCTGGGTACTCGAAGCGAGGCGGCCGCAGTCGAACGTCTGGCCAGTCGCTCGGGTAGAGCTCAAGGAGTGTACCGAGTGCTGAGGATGCACAGCCTCTGCTGTGGC